CGTGGGGTGGGAGCACACCTGCTTTTACAGGGAAATTGACTGTTTTGATGCAGAATGGATTTAAAAATTGCATTTACCCCGTGTTAATGAAGGTCCCATTAATCTTTAATGGAGCATAATACTCACTTGCAAGGGAGCGACTTGGTGCAACAGAAATGGTTCATGGAGTTGCGATTGACTGCTCTCAAAAAGTGTAAACCAAAGTACCTTTCCACGTAAGGTGCTTGTCTGAGTAAAAGGTTTAAAATGCTACTGCTTTCAGTATTGCTTAGTGCCCCTAACATGTCTGGTGTGCCTTATGCCTTACTTTTAGATGAAGATTTTATGAACTGTTTACAAGATGTTTTACAGCAGGACCAGGTATACTGTATGCAGTGGTCTTCTGCAGTACTTTGGTAAAATTCCATTTCCTTTTTAAAAGTACTAGTGTCTGTCACACAACCTGACATCTCATAGCGGTGGTCTCCTTTCGAAGAGTCAAACTCTGAATCCTTTGGAGTGAGATTGTGGAATGCTGCTTTGTTTTCTCTCCCGTTTAACCCTTTTTTCTGTACCAGATATGAACGTGCATGTTCAGGAAAATGATTGCACTAAATTTTTTGTGTAGTTGTAGTTAAGTGCCAAAATCATGGCAACTTCAAGAGAAGGAATAGAATTCTACACCACTTAGTACTGCAGTATGTCCTATGGGCTTTAAGAGTTTAGAAGTTTTGCAAATTAGTAACCTACTAAAAGGTAGCTGCATATTCGTAGAGCTTCCTTTGCGTTCCAGCGTGTTTTGTACTTCCAGAAAAGCTTTGCTACGTATGAATTGATACATGGTTAACAGACCTGTGACTTTTTCCATGATAGCTGAATTTACTCTTCAGGTCTGTTGGAGCATCCTTTTTATTGAATCACTGTGCAAGGTCACGTTTCTGTTAGTGTTTGCTGTTCGAGACAGAACTCTGTACCCTCAGACTCCGCATCTTGGTTAACGGGACACTGTCAACTATTTTTCCTTTAATACTCTAAAGTGCCTAGCACACTTTTGACGCTATATAAAAAAATACCTTCGTAGAAGTTGCATTCATAGTTTATTTTTTGTGTAGTGCTGCACTAGCCAGCATGGCTGTTTTTTGGCTTGCTCCTTTGTGCACAGTTACCATTGCTAGTCTCATCTCTGGGAATTATTTTTTTTTCCTTAACTAGAGTCCCACAAATACCTTTTGGTGTCACGCGAAATTGGTCTCTTAAAAATGTGTCGCTTATCCCTAGATCAGTGGATCTTAAAAAATTGTCTTCAAACGACCAGAAGTGATTTTACGTCGTGTCAAAATGTGGACCTGAACTGGTTGAAAGTGTCCCACCTAAACAGTGTACTCTGTAGTAGAACATCCTCTAGAGTGCTGTCCCAGGTCTGCTGTCTGTATGGGAGATATGCAGTGGGCTTGGTAATTGAAAAGAAATGCCTTACACATCCCTGGCTATTTCAAACAGATAAATGTAAACTTCGCAGTTCCAAAACCGTGTCTTAATTTGGGATTTACCGTTGTTTCCGAGAGAAGAGTTATGTACTTTGTCAGATTTCATAGCTAGAGAAAACGCAAGTGCGTAGCAGGCTTCCACCGCCCTGCCGAAGTGCAGGGGAAGGGTGGAAGCCCGTCCTTCCGTACCCCGCACCACAGCAGGGGAACTGCACGTCACTTCAGTACTCAGGCACGTCGCACTCGTGACTAGCGAGGAGGGAATCCCTAACTCCTGGCTTCCTAAATGATTCCCTAGACGATTGTATATTAAATACATATCAACGCCGTAATTTTGATTCCCTCACTGAATGCGGTCCCAGTTGGTGAATCTTAAAAATGGCTTAATCAGACTAGGCTTGCTCAGCTATCGATACTATTTGAATTTGCTGTCAAACTTGCAGGTTCCTAGGTGGTAAGGTGTAACAATAAACAAATCTTCAGGACACCAGAGTAAAACAGCCCAAGACTTTTATTTTGATTTGAAACTATTAGCCATAAAGCAGAGCATATGGATGGCTCTTCTCGGCTTTTGATGGCAGTATGCAATTTGTATTCTATGTGTCTTTTAATATATATGTGTATATATATATGAGCTCGGTCTGTCCAAAGTATATGTTATACTTGTTTTTAGATTATGGTGCAACTGACTATATTGATATATTATTTATTGAGTGCTGAATCACCATCTTATTGGTGATAAATATTGCATATTATACAGGAGTGCAATGTATATTCCTTTAGATTGCTGAGGCTTGATTGCTGTGATAACAAAAAAAAAATGCCCTGAGATGTATTTATGAATGGCCCCAACATACAGAGAGTCAGTACTTTATGGAAATAATGTAGCGCTTGCCTGGGGCAAGTAAAATAAAGCCGTAGGCAGATAATTATGTAGTTTGCCAAAATGGCAAACTACTGGAAAGAGAGACTACCTTTGCTGTATTTATCTTTCATTTACCTAACGGATATTTGCTGTCACTGCAGTGTTTATATTAAGGAAGATACAAAAGAGCCTGAGCAAGTCAAGTTTGAATTACCCATTGGGGAGTAAGCAACTTCCAAATTCTTAGATTTCTGACAAATACTTTGGTCAGGGTTTAAATTACCCCGTCTGATGAATCAGTGTTACGGAAAACCCTGTGTTTCCAAGCAACAAAGTTAATGCTAGACATCTTTCAGCGTAAGGAGTAGCCAAAGCTTTCGCTAGCCAACTCAGACAAATCCAGACCTATTCCAGGAGGCAAACTTCCTAAGTGGGAAAGTTAGGTAAACTCAATCAGTCGGGGAATCGTGATGTATGTCCAGCTCCTTTACTTCTGGAGGGATTGGTGTCTGCTGCCGTGATGCCGTTTGAGAAGAGCAGTGTTGGGGAGGGACGGGGCAGCTGTGCCGTCTCTGGCGATGAATTCTCCCCTGGGTGGGAGCGGGGCAGAGCAGCAGCCGTGGTCTGCGCAAGCTCAGCCTTGCAGGCAGCGCCGGCTCCCTCCTCTCTGCCCGTGCTCGGCTGGGTTTCGATCCAATCCGCTGTACTGAGCGATTAGAGATGCGGTGGTACAGCATGGAGTTTACGAAGGCGATCTTCCTGTAAATGCTTCCTCTCTTTTAATTTCATCTGGAAACTTAATGGAAGTGTATCCATTCCTGGTGTAACTCTCCGCGCCTGCTGACGGAGCCGATACAGGCAAATCGGAATGCAGCGTTCCCTGTCCTCGGTTTTTATACGCAGCCCTGTTCGTTGGTGTCGCTGGGTGCACAGTACTTCTGCAGCGTTTGGTTTTGGCTGCACTGGCATTACACATCTGAAAACTCAACTCTAAGGACCAGGCATGACTTTTGCAAGCACAGTTCCTGACATTTGTATCTGGTCCCCCTTTTAAATTGTTTTAAGAAATTTTGTATATGGAGGATAAAGTGCTTATATATTTATTAAAAATCCTTTATCTTATTTGAAATTATTATTTGGTGAAGAAGGGTTTTTCTTTTGGGGGAGGGCTGGGGGGGGGGAGGTAACTTTTAACCTGTCACTTATAAATGAAGCCCTTATTAATGCTACAGAAAGGTACTGTTAGTAACTAATGGGATGTCTCTGTTTTATGCTTTGTACATGACAAGTCCATGTGTTACATTTTGTTTTCTATCAAAATATTTAGGCATCTGTCTTCAACCAAAACCTAAAAAAAAACAAACTGTGATTTTATTTGTTGCAATACATTTGAAATTTCAAAGGGTACTTTGGGGCTCAAAATTAGGATTTCTAAGTCAGTATGTGCATTTCACGTAATAAAGCTGTTAATGGTGAGCAAAGTATTATATACTAACTAGATTTTTTCCACATCTGTATAGTATATTCTATGTATTTTGTGGTATTGAGATTATAGAAAGTTTAGTGTCTGAAACATGCGTTTAATGTGTATTTTTAAACAAATTTACGGCAATTAAAATATTTGGAGAAAAGGGTATCACATTTCAATTTGTAAAGATCTTTTTAACTACTGTGTCATTAAAATGCTTTGTACAATGCAAAACTGTAACTGGAGAAACTAAGTTTAATAAATATCAAATAGATTTTCTGTATTAAACTTCAAAAGCACTGTGCTCGTATCTGTTGCGTGGGCGTTCTCCTCCTTGGTATGGCATTTTTAAGCAGTTTTCTTTTTTGATCCTAGCGCTCTCTGTGTAACAAAAGGAAAATAGCATTCAGTAGTTGTGTCCTAGACCTGTTGACACTTGTCTAATCAAAAGCAGCTTTGTTTCTTTCAGCCCTCCGAGTTAACATGCAACGGATCAAAATGGGATTGTGATCAATTTATTTTAAAATAGGAGAGACTTCAGTGGCAAAAGTCAGGCTCGGACGTTTCTTTAAGTAACTTGATTAGAAGTAATTAAAAGTAAATACTTTTCCTTCCAGTTCTCACCAGATGTAATTGGGATATTGAAAACGCTGTCGGTATTACCAGCGTGTGCGCTCCCTCTCTCCGACAGGCCTCTGTCGGGGTACTGATACGAGCTCGGCTGTCGAGACCGGACTGAGATGGAACGCTGATCTACTTTGTGCACTTGCCAGGGTGAAGGATAAATGTCCAAAGTCCAGTTTGAATTAAGCACTCCTACTTGAAACGCCAGCTGGGCGCTCACCATACGCTTGGCTCACGGGGTACAAGGAAAACCAAGGTGGTTTGCTGAATATAAATTTTTAATTCACACCTTAAAAAAATGAACCATTACAAAAAACCGAAATGAACACGAGATGCAGAGTCCTTTTATTGAGCTTGGCCAGACAGTCATCCTGAAGCGTGTGCTGCAGAGGTATGGCCTTGGTTAGCAAATGCTCTCAAGCTCTTTGAAGTCCTTTTATCAGGTCAAATGACAGAAATGTGAAATATACTTATTGCTTGATTCACTGTCCTAGCTTCTGAATGGGCAATAAATATTTCACGAGTGAGTGGAGCCTTGTTAGCAGTAACAGTGATGGGTGTTCTTCATCGGGACGGGTCACTCTGAGGCCGTTCTAAGGAAGCAGCGGTTCTTCCTGGAAAACAGAACATCATCAGGCAGACGGCTCCGACGGCCAGCGAGCAGGGCCCAGACACGCGTCCTCCGATACAGCCGTAGCAGTGCTCGTATGCAGCTCCAGTAGCTGTGCACATTGTATTCACCTCCTTAACTCTATTCCACTCGTCTTGATTCATTTTATGTTCTTTGCTTTACATAGTAACTCCAAAATGCATGTTACCCAGGGCTACGTGGTCAGGCTGCGGTGTAGAAATGACACACAACGGAAATTCCTTTCTGTCTGTATCTTCCTGTAGCTGCTGATACAGTTCTCCTATGTTAATCAGCAGAGCCAAATGATGTGTTTCAAATACATTCAAAACAGCAGCCCGACTACCATGTCCTGTTGTATTTAAGTATGGTAGAAAATGGATGTATTCTACCCTGTCTCTATTTGCTTTCTGGTATGGGCACAGCGCGTGCCACGCAAAATCACCTTTCAGTCACTATTTGAACGAATCAGTTTAACTACATGTACTTGGACAATTTGCTCATGTCTGGTGTTCACGAGAACTAAATGGCTTTTGATATTTGAGTTGTCTTTTAAACTATTAGCTTAAGTAATCACCTTAAAGTGATTAATTTAGGGTAAGATACTGCTTTAATTAACATATGCTTTAAAGTGAACAGTATTGGCTTTAAGAAGGATTATTTAAGGTCTCTAAGCGATTACCTAAAAGCTGTCTAGAATCCTGTGTTCTTTTTTGAAAAGAGAGGTTATTTGGGGTTGCAACGAAAGGAGTAAGGCTTGTAATCACGGGCACTTGGACTGTGTTCTGTTTGCATTGCTTACAAAAGAAGTCTAAATCGATTGCCCCATCCCTATTCCTGGTATTTTTTTTTATGCACAGAATTAACTCCGTATCTCGTTTGGGTGAGAATAAGTGGGAACTTCCTCTATATGACAGAACGTTAAGTGTCGCCGAGCCTGAACGTTGGTCGGGATTAGTTACCTGCACAGCATTGTAATGCATTCGCTGTTGTCCCTGCACGAGGCTCCAATGGGTCTTAGGGAGACTCCTCTCCAGAAGGGGGTCATCCGCCGCTGTCGCGGTAGCCGAGGCTGTCGGTGGTGCAAGGAAGCGCAGTGCGTCTGAAAGGGTTTTAGTGCGACTGTCAGAACATGCAGCAGCTGTAAGCAGTTGGTCATTCTGATGCTGAGGTCAATAGTCTTAAGTGAAGAACTTGAAAGCTTTCCCGTTTTCCAGTCGTAGCATGCTCTGTTAAAGTATAATTGTGCGTATCCTAACCCCAAAGAGGTAAGAAGCATAAAAATTAACTATGCTTTTTCATCTTCTTGGGAGGGAAGGCAGAATTACTTGCTAGGTTATGTCTCAGAGTAACCCAGTATTCACTAGGCAGTTACTCTACTTCTTTAGGATGTTGAATCCTCTAACTCCTGCCAGTTATTATTCTTCGTGCAAATTGTGACAGTTCTTATTAACTACCTGACCATTGGAATTAGCACTTTAAATAACGATCTCTGTTTACCTGGCTGAGCAGCAGTGAGCACAGCAAAAGGATGGCTGTCATTTTCCAACAGTGCATCTTCACGGTACGAGCTGTCACTTCGACCATGGGACCAGCCCTGGGCAGAGGAGGTAGGAAGAGCCCCAAATAGAACTTCCCAAGCTTCAGCCAGATTTTTATAGACTTCATTCTCTTATCGTTGCATCAGCTGTCATTACAGGAACAAAGTTCATTTTGGAGCGAGGGAATTACTAAATTAGCATCTGCTGAAGCGATCTGGTTCAAGGCCTGTCTAGCAAGCTAATGATTTACTCTTTTTCCACTTGTACTTTGTCTGCCCAGCTTCCCGTTGTGCCAACTGTTCCTTTTTTTAAAACCTACCTAACGTGTTACCAGAACTCGATGGTGTATTTGCAAGGAAAAGGGTGGTTGGCCCAAAGTATTATGGTAAAGATCAAAAGCCATAACCTTACTTAGCTTCTGTGACGTTCCTGCAAGGGTTTTCAGCAGCTGAGTTGCTCCACGTGGCAGGACTGTGGTTTCTTTAGATGAGCCGTCTCTGCTGTAGTCTGCCTCTGGACTGGGGATTGGCCTTCTCAAAGGTGCCAACAACTCCATTGATGTGGACGGGCAGTCTGTAGTTAAGAGGAATCTTAATTTTTTTCCATTGTGAAATGAGATTGCAACTGCCCAGAGAAAAGAATGTTTAAGAGCTTTCTGTTACCTCTCATCTTCTCTATAATCCTCTCCGCTTACCAACATTGGGACACGTGGGAAAAGCGTATGTCTAAGACTCCCAGTCTGCAAACGGACCTTCCTGGTAGGCACTCCTCCTCCTCGGGATGCACAGATCCCGAGGTGCATCTGGCTCCCACACCTGTCCCGTGTATGCTGACTCTGTCAGGTACAACATTTTGGACACTGCAGAGTAACATAAAGAGAATACCACCTTACTTGTGTCAAGTATGCGTAGGTTTTGGAGCACACTATGTTTTAAGTTACTTCAAGTGGGAAGATACTGTATAAACAGCGAACTGTGCTTTAGCTAAGTTGTAAATACCAATCGGGATGTAACAGGCTACGATTTTCTGTGATTGCTTAATATGGAGGCATACGTGCCAGCGTGGAAGGCAAGTTACTTAGGTTAAGGTAACGGCCATGTTGTCAGGTTCCTGCCTACAGACGATTACCCCTTACCCCAAACTTCACTGGGATTAAATAAAAACCCTTCCCAGCAAATTGTCTACAACCACTATTGGAAAATTTGTTCCTTTCCTAGGGTTCTTGT